ACTTAGGGTCCTGCGGAGGAAAATCGGCCGGCATGCGTCGCGCGGCGCGCGCCAACACTAACCGTCATGAGGACGTACACCCAATCCATTGATCAGTTGACATCACCTTGCCAAGGACCTGCCCTTGCACGAATCTGGGCTTTCCCTTGGCCAGACTCGAAAGCTGTCAGGCCTCCGGATCGGACCTGAAAACGGTTCAGGATGAAGGCCGAACGCCTTAGTGCCCAGCTGTGCAACGGGTGGCTGCCGGCTACCTTCTGACCTGTCTTCTTTTCATAGAACGAAAAGATTGAACCAGCAACTTGACGAACCGTATGAACAAACATTTCTGCACCGCCATTGCTCTGATGCGATCCTTCTGGAACCTGCTGACACACGGTCCTCAGCCCTAAGCTAAGTCGCAGTTTCTTCACTTCGTTTTGGAGGGCCAAACATGTTGGCTCAGTGTCGGACCTGATGATCACTTGACTGTACCCAAGAAAGGATATCAGTCTGCACAACTTAAAGCCAAGTACACCAGCACGTTCATGCCATTGACAATTCCTCCTTTGTCAGGGACTGGAAAGCACTCTCGCCAACCAGTGTGGGCATCGTGAACGAACAGGGCTGTAATCTTTGGCTCACCCTCGGCACGAGATGAGAACCCATAGTCAAAGCTTACCCTGATGCTCCTAAAGCCTTGTTCTGCAAGGCTTTAGAGGCCGAAGACTCACTGGAGGATTGTAAATCTGTAATGCCTTGTCTGGCAAATAGCGCAATTTAACGGGTTATTGGGTCGTGGTGTTCTTTTATTAAATGTGTACACGCGGCTGATATTTCAGTCAGTTGTAATGCTGTTCGACATGCGATGAGCTCTAATTTATAGGTTGGATTGAGTTCTTGTGGAGCCAACGTATTAAACTAGCTGCCACTGGCCTAGGCATTGCACGGGTCAGAGTTTTGGTCTTGAATGCTGGCGCATTCTGAACGTGTAAGCTCCCCTTGCCAAAGACAAGGGCCTGAAATCAAAACTACCAGCCCCGATGTGGGTAAACATTGGCACCCACGAATTCAAATGCTTTGGGCCAGAAGTCCTGATTTGAGCAGCAGCTTTCAATCAGACCTCGGCATGCAAAATCTCGCCAGCATGTCCCCACACGCACATCACGGCTCATCACTCGTGAGGCTGCGAAGCCTAGACCGTATCTTCCCAATATTTGAGCTGCATCTTGCACTCACCCTTGTGAATTAATTGCAATGAGAGTTTGACTGACATGAAATTGCTGTTTATCGAGCCTTTCGAGACAATCCCAAGCTCTCTTTGAATCTCGGCTGCAGTTGGGTTGAAATGACATAAAGTTGTTTGACTTGCTAGACGACCCCAAAATTCTGCTTGTGTTTGATTGAAATTCCAAGCAGTGTTGTGTTTTATATGCTGTTTGCACGAGACACACGCGGCGGTTCCACGGCTTCCGCTGCAGCTCGATTCGTCCTAACACTCTGTTCTCGCCACAGTCCCGCACCGTCTGCGTCCGCCTTTTCATGAGTTGAGCTCCTGCCGCAGTGCTGCAGCTAGAATGTCTCTGGGGCTGAAATCGTGTTCCTTCCACAACCCAGTGCTCACTAGATTGTGCCTTTCAAAGCGGCCGACGTCTTCAAGTTACAGCCTTGATAGAGTCGTGAAATCAGTTGAGTTCGCAATGGGCATGCTGCCGCATAGGGCCGCACGATACTTCGGAGTGTAACTCGTCTCCCGCCCGCAATTGTGCTCTCGCCGACGGGCCGTACATATTTGTGCGCGGATGTGTCCATATAGTTGGGCTCCTGCGAAAGTCCCGTGCGCTTCCCCCTCTGCCACTCACTACAGCGGCCTCTGCCGGACTCATATAGTGGACGTGTTCTTTCATTGTTTGGTGTCTAAGCCGGTTGTACACATGTGGGCTGGAGTGCTGCAACTTTGTCGAAGGGTCGCAAACTCTGTTCTGATTTCAATTCGTTATGACCAGAGATTGATTTCGTTAGAAGCTGAAGTTCTAGCTCTACAGAATGCTACGCTACACGATGCCATTTTCCACGCCAGCTTCTGTTAAGCTTCGGCTGATCTTGATTGGAACTCCGCGAATATTGAGATGGTCCATGCATACTAGATTCCAATTGCGAATTGATGATTGAATTCGTTGTGAATGATTCCGGGGCCGGGGCCACACATGCTGAGCAAGTTCCAGCAAGCACGTTTATCTTGGACAGTCAGAGCTACTAAACGTGGCTTTCCGAAAACCTGTCTTTAGCATTGAATTACGGAAGGCCTGATGAACAGGGCAGGTGGTTGTCACTTGCATAACATCTGTAAACCGTGTGTTGAACGTCTATGACCGTCTATGTGTTTTCCTTAAGCCGGCATGACATGTTGTTATTTGTCAACCGGCCTGTTCTCAGTGTGACGCTTCTCGAAACCAAGATCTAGCGACGACAATGGAGCATGACACCACCACAAAGTTCAGAGCCAATGACTGCACCCCTTCCCCGGGGAAGCCTCAAACCAAAATTGGCGCTAGCTCCCCTCGCGAATTTCTAATTTCAATGTCCTCTGTTCAGAAACCAGCTCTAGTAGACAACTAAAATTCAAAGACTACAATTTTTGACGAACCCAAGGGAGCAGTGCGCAATTGTGGAGATTTTTGGTGTTCCCCCGCACAGTTTTGCGCCGAAACACCCTGGGCAACAAAATTGCGGAATAACGCGCAGTATCGCTGAATATCGCCCCAAATGGCCCCAAATGTGCCCAGAAGGGACTTTGACGGCCAGTATCGCGGAATATCGCGCCCAGTTTTTGACTTTCGGAGCCAATTCAAATCCCGCCCAGGACCCGGGTGAGAAAGCCCTTTTCCAAAGTGCCATTTGGATTTTGTGCGCCAGCGTTGGGCTTCACAAGCGGAAAGTGATGGTGTTTGCTTGTGTTTTATGCTTAGGCTGAGTGTGACGCGGTTTGGGGATCCATAGCACAGCATTTTGGGCACTATGCGTTGAGTGTTGGGTGTTCTTCGGAGATTATAGCTGTTGTTTGGGCGCCAGGCTTCAGTAACCTTTCCCCTGCCTATTCGACCCCCTCGAATTCCAGCACCGGTTCCCGGGCATTCCAAGTTTTGAGAGTGCACAGAACACGATTGTTCACTTCGTTGCGGGCTAACGTTTGCTCCTTACGTGGCATACGCAAACCCGGAATCCTTCATAACGAAGCCTAACCAACTATGTAAATGCAGGACCATCTCAGCATTCGTGGATTTCCACTCAAATTCAAGAAATCCCATTAAACATAGTATAATCAAGTTTCAACAGAAATCAGGATGGAATGATAGAATGTGTGATCGTCTGGGCTTTTGCAGGATTCCGTTGCTAGTCTAGTTCTATCTAAATATTGCATGGGTATCAGACTGGAATCTGGACTTTTGTGCAACTCCAATGTCATTCCCCTGAGTGTGGTCGACTGCGTTCAGGACCTGCAGCTTGCGCAGCAGGTGCACATGGTTTTTCTATGCCTCCCGGTCGCACGGTACGCATTCATCTGCCGGCCCCGTCCACAAACGACGAAAACATCACAAAATCCAACACTTTGGCGTGGGCGCCGCACCACGGTCCCGTGCCCATCTCGAAATCCGTATCTTTAAAATCGCAAGGCCGCACTATTCGGCTCCAGCCGGCCCGGGCTCCAGGAAATCTGGCAGTTCTGCGGCACCGTTGCTGCCATATGGCGGTGCGAATTTGGGGGAGTTTGATTGTTCTTCTCGCCAAACGCAGTCCTGTGCGTTTCCTCCTCCCGAAATGCTCGAACGACATTGACGACTCGTGTTTCCGTCTCCCCACAAGAGCTTTGTGTGTTCCCGCCTCCGCCACGTGTGTTCTATAGAGGGCCAACCGTGCAGACATCGCAGCGTGTTGCGCATTCTGGACTTGTGGGGTGGTTTTGGAGCATCAGCGGTGCTCCTGGTTGGACCGCTACATGTTTCTCATTCTGGGGTCTATGCAGGTGCTTCAGAATATTTGTTCGAAGATCGAAAGAGCTCGCGGTCGTATAGGATGCAGAGAAATCGGAGTATTTTGAGAAAACATATCATAGGTCTAGCTACTGTTCCAATCAGTCTCATTGAAATTCAAGCAGGAAGGACCAAGCTGACACCTCTTAATTTAGGATTCACCACATTGCATCATCGCAACCCTCCCACCCGCGCACTCGAGTTTTTTGCAGAATCCCTGATTTATGACAGCAGCAAAACCATGATTCAGAAGCTTTGTTGGCGCCGGTGCCGGAAACAGCTGCGGTCCAATTCAAAAGTTAAGCGCTCTTATCTATCATTATCCGCGTAGCATCCTGGCGCCACGTGTCAGAATCCCAACATGCACCCGACAAAGGGACACGAAAATGTCAAAAACGACCCTTGTTACAGGCTGCTCCACGTGATCTGTCATTTTGCCCGGAATAACAATGCTTGGTGCCACTAGCCAAAACGTCTTCAAGTATGACCCGTTTTCAGCTTCACATTCAAGCACAGCGTCTCGTGTAGCTCAAGAAACCGGCCGGCACCATGATCCAAAAAGATATTCTTCAAGACATGTCCAAAGAACCTGCACTGGACTCCAACGAAACGCCACACATTCTCTACATTGGAAACCCGTTAAACCAAGCCCCAATTTTGCCCCAGGAAGGACTTTCGGCCCAACGCCTTCCTGGGCAGAAAAACCTTGTTTGGAAGAAACGCAGCGATTCCTTACCCAGAAGGGTTTTGGAGCATCAGGGTTATGCAAGGCATGCGATCCTCGGAGCCTTTGACCTCAGCATGCACATCATCACGCCCCCTGAACGCCACACAATGCTCGCAGCAACTCTCATAAGGGCAATGGGTGGCTTCATGAGCACGGCGCTGCTCGGGACTAGGTTCGACAGGCTGCTTAGGAACAACACCTTGACACAGACGATCCACTGCCTCCTGCAGACGCGCGGGCCGCAGCAGCAAGCTCAAGGGTCTTCAGTCTATCAGCCAGCCGCCGAAACACAGTAGCACGCGACCCACTTTGCCAACACCCAAAGAAGTGCACGCAGCTCTCAAGGTAGAGAGAGTGGTCGTCGGCGTCAACACGACATCATTGATGGTGATAGACTCGGGCAATGCTGACGGCTCATCCGCTAGAGCTTCCATCATGACGGCATCTGCCTGGGCGGATCCTGGTGGATTTGCACTTGACTGATTGCATGGGCTCACCTGGGCTTGCAACCTCAGCCAATGCATCTTCAGGCTCACCTGGGTTTGCACCCTCAGCCAGTGCATCATCAGGGCGGTCACCTGGGGGCCTGGGGGCGAAAGTTCCATGTCGCCAAGGCCGGCAGGCGACTCTTGCATCGTGAATCCAAGCTCCTCAGCGCCAATCTTCTCGCGATGACCGAACACGATCAAATCAAACTGCTCTCCAGAAGGATGAAGCAACTCGTTGGGCGTCTCCAGCGAGGCTAGCGGCTCACTCAGCTCCAACAACACCCAATCAGCACCCTGGCGCAGCAAGGTGGTGCGGTAGGCCGAGCCCTCGTGAGGCGCGTACAGCCCTAAGTCAATGTGCCTGTCAGACACAAGCTTCGCCGCACACACTGTCAGACAAGTAATCATGCTCAGTCAGCAGCCGATCAAGCAAACCGGAAACTTGCACAACACCGGGCTCTTCGAGGGGATCGCTGATGGCCCGCCCACACAGCACCTCAGCACACAAGCGTGTTGTGCTGGAAATCCAAAGGATGCATGCACTCTCATCGAGACTGGCAAGTGCGAGACCACCTGGGCTGTCGTCACCCTCGGCGAAGGAGTTTGCCAGTAGCCAAGATAGGCTGACTAACCCCAGTCACAACCCATCTATCAACTATCTCTACATCCCCAACCTGAAGAGAGGCATGTCGAACACCGCGAGTATGCATCGCGTTCCCTGATGCATCAACTAGCCCTCTGGGACCTTGTGCACTCTTGGTTCCAACCTGAAAGTACGAGTACGGAATGCACGACTCATCAGCTGCAGTGTCGACGCACACAACAACATCACCTTCACTGCTAAAGGAGCTGTTGACTGCCCACACACGGCCATCAAGGGGCACATGAACCTCCGGATCCGGTTCTGGACCTGGGACCAGCGTCCATCTGCCGTCGTGATCGCTGGCACTCATGTTGTACACCGCACAGCCGCACAGCACAACTCGGGACACGAACCCTGTTGGCTTGGAACGGACACTGCACTGGATGATACCGGACTGCTTGGGTACGGCACTGCACTGGATGATACCGGACTGCTTGGGTACGGCACTGCATTGGATGATACTTCAGGACTGCTTTGGTACGACATTGCACAGATTGAAGGGGCACCACTCACAGCTCCCGCAAGGTCACCTGACAGGTCGATCCGAATGCTCTTGACGGATTTTGCAGGGGAGTTAGCACTTGCCGCAGTCGCAGGAGAATCGGCAGAAGAATTGGCTGGTGGATGAGCATCTTCCACCTGCTGCACACGCGCACGATCGCGCGCGGACTGATCTGCCCTCATCTTCCTGCAATCTCGCTGAAAGTGACCCTTCTTCTGGCAGTAGTGACACACAGTGTTAGCATCAGCGACAGACATATTGCCACCGCCTCTGCCCTTGCCCTTGTCATTCTTGCCTTTGCCATGCTTGCCTGCATCCTTGCCTTGGCCGCCCTTTTTACCTCCCTTGAGACCTGTACATAACCTTCCCTTTATCCTTACCTTTGCCCCTCGGCTTGCCTTTGCCTTTCAACTGCGCAATAGTGCCCTCAGCATCAACATCCATGTCAGTGGGCTGGCTACCTGAAGCAGTCAGGCTAGGCATGAGCAACTGTTGCTGGACACGGGTAGGAGTCTAACCCTTTAGTGACGTTTTCTCATATCCATGCTGATTCTGAGTCAGGGGCAGAGCCTGCAGCGGTCGGCCCTTCAACAAAGTCGACAGAATACCGTAAAGCTGTCTGCTTCGGGATTTGGTCGGCTCAGGCAAGGTGTCCATTGACATGCAGGGCTCACTGCAACGGGATTCCACTTCAAGCAATTCGGACTCATAAGCTGGGTTCACTACACTAAGCCAAGTACGGAAACCGTGAAGCCAGGCCGAATCATTTGTCAGTGCTCTCTGATCCAAACGGGTCAGGGTGCTTCAAGAAGCTTGTACGCCTGCAAACTGTTTCCACCTGTGGCTCCACTCGTCTCTGAAGAAGCTTCGGTGCGGGAAACCAGCTGTGCTACAGACTGCGCACTCACCGCTGCTGCCTGAGCTGCCTGAGTAGCAGCTTGCAACATCTCCATCATGACAGTCGCCTGATCCGGGACGGTCGGTCCACCGGAGGCGGTCGGGCTCCCACCAGGTGGGCTGTTGGACACAGGAATCTGCGCAGGATCCATTGTTACGAAAACTGGGCTCAAAATTCAAGGCAGAGTTTCACTGGCACGGAAGAAAGTTTTGGATCAAGAAAATCCTCAATCAAGATCGATCACTTCTCTAGAACATTTAAGCTTCTTGAAGACAGGAGCAGACTCAGCAGCACAAGCAGCTGATCTCACCTCGTCACCCGAAAGCACAACGGTCTCCTTGCGCCCTGCAGATCCAGCGGTAGAAGAAGCCTTGGCCTCTCCTAAAATCGTTATTGCGCACCAAACAAACACTTGCAATAAATCAGCTCCAAGAGCTTGCACCCGTAAGAAACAATGGCAGACGCGGAATCCAACTCAGTGAGCTGTGACCTGTGACGGTCCTGTGCGACGCGCTGCCGCTTGCAAACACTTTGGTGACTAAGCGAAGGGGTCAACGGCTTGGTTGTCTGCAGCTCCACGAACCACTCTAGCACTGCTAGCACACAAGACCTGAGCTCCCTAAGTCTCTCTGGCTCGTTCCAATCCTCACAATCAGCAAGCCGAAAAAGCTCAGTCTGGGTGCTCACACAAGGAATTGCTTATTGCAAGATCGCACACCTCACAGGCGCACGGAATATGGCGGCGCAGGGATCTTCTACTCTACCTAGAGCACTCACGGTCTCAGAGACACGTCCAGTGCTCCGCTATTACCATGAAAACTTTTGGCTTGTAACAAAGCGCCTGCACAATCCGTTCATTCAGCATGGTTCACAATGGCGGCAACAAAACTAGAGACTACCAAAGCTTTCAGCAAAGGTACGGAAAATCACACACCAAATCATACTTGGCATACTGTCCTCCCGCCACACCTCCAGATACCCAAATCCTAAGCAGTAAAACAGGGCTGTAAGTCCGCCGTTGCTCTGGCCTGCTCTCTCTCTCGCTCTCTCTCGCGCTCTCTCTCTCTCTCTCTCTCTCTCTCTCTCTCTCTCTCTCTCTCTCTCGCTCCCTCTCTCTCTCGCTCCCTCGCTCCCTCTCTCTCTCTCTCGCTCCCTCGCTCTCTCTCTCTCGCTCCCTCTCTCTCTCTCTCTCTCTCTCTCTCT